ATGTTGGTCGCAATTGGTCAACTATATATACTGTATATAGGCTCTATGTATATATTTTTATTAGGTTATATGTCTGTCTATATGTAGCACTATGGTCTTGTGAGGCACGACAATAGTACGTCTGCACATCTAGCAGAATGACAATAAAGCTCACTTGAACTTGAACTAACTGCAAATGCATGTGTGGTGGGAGTCTAGTTATTTACGAGTATTTTATCATCAAAGTGCAACACATCTTTTGGGTCCATCAAAAGTCTCTCCACCATCAAACTTTGCTTCTCTTCGTCTTGTATGATTAATAAATGTTATGCCATTCTCGAAAAGGGCTAACGTAATGTGTTTTTTTATAGTAGGATTTCAAAAAGGTTTGAAGTTGGGACACCAGTGGGGTTATCCTAAAGTTAAGACAGTTTTTAGGAATTTTTGGCGAGTTAGGATGCTTCTGTAATGCCGTTTTCCTATCTGTAGTTAAGATTAGATAATGCTCTTAGGAAATGCTTTTCTCTAATAGCTTTTGACATAAATGTGGTCCTAAGTTAAATTGCCATGGTTACCAAACAGATAAGATAAGATTTTAAAGTTAGGATCTTTCTGTAATACGCCCCAAGGTTCCTATCTGTGGTTTGTACCCATGTTTCAAGTTTGGATTATCTGTGCTGGTGTTTCAATTAAACTTGTTTGGTTTGGTTTATTTATTTATATAGCACAACAACAAAAAAACCCAGGTGTAACCACAATGGTTGACAATAGAAAAGATAAGAAAAAAAATTAAACTTGTGCTTGTATGTGGATTCTTGCTCCGTCTCGTTCCTGCTCACGTAACACAGGCCATGGCTGGGACAGACTTCCTGTATCACATCTCCTTAAAAAGGCACAATCTAATCCTGTTTACGTGAATTAAGACTGCTCCCAAGCAGGTTTGAACTTCCGGACATGTTGCTATGACAGCAACTTAAGGATAAACTTTGAAGAACCTAACAATCCTGGATCATGTCAAATCATCAACAGTAAAATCCATACAACTGAGTAATCCAGGTACGAAGAACAGACCCCTGAACACAACAGTGAGTGGTGGGATATTTGCTAATAAAATGATTGTGCCTGAAGAATAGCGTGAGAACTCTACTATGTCTGGTCTCTCTGTATCATCTTGGTGAGCATTTTAGACATTTTATGCATGCACGGTAAGGTGATTTAAGTGTTTTCAGATGTGTCTGTGTGAATGGACAACTATTGGAAAATGATTTAAAAAGCTAGCGTGGACAAAGTGCATTTTAAAAAATGGCGATTTCAAATATATCCAGATTAATGTGGATGTACCTTCAAAAAGCCAACACTCAATCCTATAGCAGTTAAAAACTACAGACCAGTCTCTCTACTTCCTTTTCTGTCAAAAACTCTTGAAGGAGTTGTGTTCAATTAGCTCTCTGCTTTTCTCCAACAGAACGACCCACCTGACGACAAGCAGTGTGGCTTCAAAAGCGGAAATTTCACAGAGACCGCCCTGCTGACTATTGTTGAAACTCTTTGCTTACTCTTTTTGGCAAAAGCAAACTCCAAATAATCTGTCTTTATTCCTCTAGACCTGTCTGCTGTCTTTGACTGTAAACCACCAGAGGTCAAAAGGCAGTGTAGAGATAAGGATAAGGCTTTCCTTGTCTTCCAAGGAAAACTGCACCACTCCAGACTCCCTCTGTGTGGGCTTTGAACCCCCTTGCTATGGGACATAATTTCCAGAATGCAGGAAGAGCAAAGCACTGCAGCAAGCCACCGACTCAGCAGAATAACCTCCCCTCCACTAAGTCCTGGGGAAAAATCTCCTTTGCCGCAGAAATCCCCAAATCCCTCTGACACTGAACTTAAGTGGCCAGTTTGCTGAACACCTGGCATTGGGCACTTGCTCCTTTCTGTCTAAGCCAGACTTGGTAAAATTGGATTCCTCTGTAAAAGGCAAGTATGGATCCCATTTACCATTAGTTCGGAAAGGCACACTCCTGAGTATATAAGGGCCCACAAATTACATTGCATTGTCAGGACAAAAACCAAGCCTTGAAGTCCAAGGAACTGCCTGTTGATCTCTGAGATCAAGTTGTGGCAAGGTATAAATCAGGCCATGGATATAAAATGATTTTCAAGGCTTTGATTAGAACCCAGTGGTCATTTTGAAAGATCACCAAAAGTCCTTTGCAGAGATGGGAGAACCCGTTGGACAGACAACCATCTCTGCAGCACTATTTAAAGCAGGCCCTTATGGCAGAGTGGCTAGACAGAAGCCACTGATATCTAAAAAGCATATGACAGCAGCTTATAGTTTGTTAAACAGCATGTAAAAGATTCTGACAACATGTGGACAAATATTCTCTGCTCTAATGAGATGAAAATTGAACTCTTTTGACAGAATAGTAAGCACTGTCCAATCTGATGGACCTTGAGAGTGTCTGCCATGAAGAATGGTATAAACCAAATTGAGGTATGCAAAGCTTGTACATATGCTTCCAAGAAGACCCTGGTGGAGCTAGTGGTGGAGATGATGATGGTGAAGCAGATGACAACGGAGGAGGAGGAGGAGGAGGAGGAAAGCACAGGAGAGCTGACGGGGCAGCAGGAGACCTCTAGATTGTTGGCAGAGATGGTGACCACCATGGTGAAGCTGAGGGCCATTGTGGAGCAGGCAAAAATAAAGAAGATCCATAGTCAAGTCAAGTCACCTTTATTTATATAGCGCTTTTAACAATACAGATTGTGTCAAAGCAACTGAACAGCATTAATTAGGAAAATAGTGTGTCAATAATGCAAAGTGACAATAGTAAACACTCAATTTTCAGTTAAAGACAGTTCATCATTGAATTCAGTGATGTCGTTATCCAGCTCAGTTCAGTTCAAATAGTCTCTGTGCAATCAAGTCGACAATATCGCTGGAAATGAAGTGTCCCCAACTAAGCAAGCCAGAGGCGACAGCGGCAAGGAACCAAAACCCCATCGGTGACAGAATGGAGAAAAAACCTTGGGAGAAACCAGGCTCAGTCGGGGGGCCAGTTCTGCTCTGGCCAGACGAAACCAGCAGTTCAATTCCAGGCTGCAGCAAAGTCACATTGTGCAGCGGACTCATCTGGTTCCTGTAGTCTTGTCCCGGTGGCCGTCTTGGAGACAAGGTCTTCACAGGGGATTTGTCTCTGGGGCTCATCTAGTTGTCCTGGTCTCCGCTGACATTCAGGGCTGTAGAAGTCCTCTCTAGGTGCTGATCCACCATCTGGGCTGGATACAGACTGGATCCGGGTGACTGCAGTGACCATCTGATCTGGATACAGACTGGATCTGGTGGCTACGGTGATCTCGGAATAAGAGAGAAAC